CAACTCTTCAATCTGCCAACGGGACTGTCGCTGTGGCCCATTGACTTGAACAAACAGCCCCAGGAGAGCAGGCGGAGTAGACCTTGGTACCCAAGCGTAGGTTGCAGAGAGACTAGGTCTAATAGTGCAGTGGTTCTCAACCAGAGATCTGGGGCCCACTGCAGGGCAGCGCACAGGTTTCAGGGGATCCCCCAAGCAGGGCCAGCACGCTGAAGGCTGATCAATTTAGCTTCACAGGGTCCCCTGTGGAGTGGGGCCCCAGGCAACTGCCCTGCTTGCTACCCCCTAATGCCGGCCCTGGCTTTTATATGCAGAAAAACAGTTTTTGTGGCACAGACGGGCCATGGAACTTTTATCTGCATCTCTCCCGCCAAGGGCAATGGAAGCAAGATTAATCAGTTTTACTGTTCTGGATAATATTGGTTTACTAGGGAATCTCCCATGGAAGTTCTTATGCACTAGCAAGATGCAGCTGTGCTTTGGGTGCAAATACTTTCTACTCATGCTCACTTAATTTAATAGAATTGAATAGCTTAAAATCTTCATGGACCTTTCTATTGGCTTTAGTTTGATACAAACATTTGTCACAAGAACCCTATCCCTTACAGTGCCCCTTTGACAAGGTCCGGGCTATTTTCTCTTGGTCCCACAAGGAAGTGAATTTCTTAGAACAGGAGCAATGCAAAAATGCTGCCTCCAAACCCAGGGAAGCAGCAATGTTTCTGCTTTCAGGCTATGAAATGGTTGAATTAGTTTGGGGTTACATTGCTCCTTCCTCTGGAGCATTTCGTACTGGCCGCTGCTGGAGATGGGGGGCCCCAGATTAGACGGATTGCTCTGATCCATTCTGGCAATCCCTGTGTTGCTAACTGGGCAGGGCAGGTCTTCCTGTAGAGGCAGTGGGTGCTGTTCCCCTGTAGGGCAGAGGGCTCTCTGGAGAACCGTGTGAGATGGTCAGTTTGGGATCAAGGGACAGAATATGAGGGTGCGGGGAAGGATTCTAGCTCAAAGCCCTTCATCTGGCAGCACCCTGCACAGCTCACGGTATTCACTGATTTATTCATTCTATGCACTGTGTCATCTCCCAGCGACTTGGAATGGGCAAGTGATGAAGTGCCAGAGCTCTTCAGTCTCTTAGGTTTCACACCCAGGCAGGTGGTTTAGGGTTTAGGTTTAGCTAAAGCAGCAGCACATAGAGTGCCTGCTGTTAATTTTTAATTGCTGACACATCAGATGGTGTCAGTTCCTCTGGGCTGACTCCTTTCTGTATCCCTGCAGCTCCAGTCCAAGGGGCTCCAAAGGAAGTTGTGAATCCTTCAACTGGCCGGGCCACTCTCCTGGAGTCCATCCGCCAGGCTGGTGGCATTGGGAAAGCCAACCTCCGAAGCGTTAAGGAGAGAAAGCTGGAGAAGAAGAAGCAGAAGGAGCAAGAACAAGGTGCCCAAAGCGCTCCCATCAGTAGTCATCCTCACTCCCCCGCCCCAGCTAGATATGCCTAGGTACCCATGTGAAGGAGTCCCATAAATACCTGAGAGGCAAAGCCAGCACTGCACAGAAGCCCTGGAGCAGAGGGATTTCGTCTCACCTCACGTTACAGTTTGGAATGTTTGGCTGAACTCACTAGCCCCTAGGTGCCAGAAATGCATTAATGCTCTGCATTGGGGAATTCTCCCCTCTCGAGGGTGGAGATGAAAATGTTTCATGTGAACTTGTATCGCTGGAAGCATTTCAAAGATAGTTCAGGGCAGGCTGCCTCTGGAGAGGAAATTGTGCCATTGGAAGTCCTGGGTCACGGTTGGGCTGTTTTTAGTAGACTGGTTAACTCCAGTTCACTTAAAGTGGCTGAAACGCCCAATCTTTTAATTCCTCCGAGCTGCTGTAGGAAGCTGACACATTTCCCAGGCAGGCCTTGGGTGCTGTGATCTGAAGTCCATAAGGGGGAAGGGTAAATGTGGTACAAGGATGGGAGGGGTCAATTTATTTATTTAATTTCCAAGTGAGAGTCCCAGCACAATCTCTGCCAAGGCAGCTCCGTCCTAGCCTTCAGCATATCCTGCTAGTCAACCCTGCACTCCCAGGCAGCTCTGCCAATACAGCACCAATGTACCCTGCAGGGTCAGTGTGTCACGTCGAATAGGGTGGGACATACCCTGTCCTCCTGTTGTGCCCTGACCACGTGTTGAAGCTGGTCCCCAGTTAATAACTAGCCATTAGTACGAGTCTGGACCTTGTGAGCAAGATATTTGGTCTGTCACCTGATTTGTGGGGCTTTACTCTTTCAGTGATAACCACAGCACAGGGTGGAGACTTGATGTCCGACCTCTTCAACAAGCTGCTCCTGAGGCGCAAAGGTACCGTGCCGTGGGGGGCTGCTCCTTTCCTGTAATGTGACATGAAGAGGGGCAGGTTCCCTTGCCTCACTGCTGCAGCTTGCAGGAGTTAGAAAGAAGAAGCCTTTGGCCAGCCTGGCATGCCATTTGGCTGAATGCTTTGATCCTGCTGGGGAGGCACACAATGCCCTTCTGGACCAGACAGGGCAATCCCCTTGCAGAGCAGGAAGAACTTACTTGTATACCAGTGCTGCCGACGGCGGAGTGAATCCAGACAGGAGGTGCTGCTGTAGTGGGGAGGGGCTTAGCTGGCTTCAGTGCCTAAGCTTTACCTGGCATCCCCAAGGCAGAAACCTGGGCACTGGCTGAGGTAGAGTGAATTGTATGTTTTTAATACTCCAAGGGAAAGCTCCCCTGTCCCTGCTCTGCAGAGGGGCGTGTCTCACTGCACATGCTGGGCAAAGGCTCAGCATATCCACAGAGCCTCAGAGGGGGGAAGCATTTTGCATATGTCTATTCTCTAAGGGCTGGGGCCTCCCCACTGCTGTCAAGGCTTCTTAGCCATAACCTAATGACAAGGCCCTCTGTAGGTACCAGGCAGACACCTCCGCTCCTCCCCTGCTCACAGAGTCAGAGCTGGTTCTGGTCCCTGCCCTCCATTGTTCTGCCAGCTGGAAATGCTGACTTGGTGCTTTAGCTAATGAACCCTTTCCCAGCAGCAGCGGAGGTGAGATTGTGTGTGCCTGAGTCACTCAGCTGATGAGGCAGGATTTTGCACAGGTGCAGGGCTAGCTGCTGCCTTCCTCGCTCATTTCAACTCACCTCTCAATTCTAGTTCCTAGGCCTCACTCACTCACCTGCTTTTCCTCCCGCAGGCATTTCAGGCAAGGGGCCTGCAGCTGCAGGAAGTGCTGATGCTCCCAGTGCACCTGCTGGTGCCTTTGCCCGCATGTCGGACTCAATCCCACCTCTGCCAGCCCCACAACAACCCCCGGGGGACGAGGAGGAAGATGACTGGGAAACATAAATGCTATCATGTCACAGGCCTGGGATTGGTTTCCTCTTGGCTAACTGGGAATCTGGCCTGGCTGAGCTAAGCACCTCAGAAATGGATCAGCTCTTGGAAATAACTGCTGGTGAGAGGGCACAGACCTGGCAGAGGGACCCCGTCACTTTCTCTTAGCTCCTGCTCATCTCTAACCACTGTTGAGTATAGTTATCAGTGAACATTACTTCTGCCCTGTTTACTTCCCCTCCCCCACAAATAGTGCATTTAATTTCAAATGCTGCTGCTCCTGCTCGCTCAATAAATCCTGCTGTAGCTGGAGAGCAGCTCATGCTTACGGAAGATCAGAACTAGCATCTCTACCGAGCGTGATGAAGCACAACTGCACGGGCAGCTCAACAGCCTTCTCCTCAGCCAGCTGTGGGCTGGGCTGGGCTTGTTTGGGTGCTCCTGTGTAGGAATTCTTGAAATGGGTGATAGCACTGTGAAAGCCTCTACCTACAACTTCTACTCTGTCAAAGAGGTGATGGGCAGAGGAGTAGAACTATGCAACTACAGTACAGTCTAGTCATAGTGTGCTTAAAAGTGGGACAAGTGTCAAAACATCATCTTGTTAATCACTGTAGGTGGAAAGTAGATGTCCTTGAGCTCCTACGTATAGTGTTTGTGTACACAGTTTGTCAGAGCTCTGTTTAGATGTGCTATACTCTGCAGGGACTGGTATAATTCAGGTGCAGCAGAATAGAGATTTTATCCAGGTATGTGTAGAAGCACACAGGAACAGTTGTTAGCCAATGGCTTTCCTGGCAGCAGCCCACTACACCACAAAGCTGAAATATCCAAAAGCCAGGAATGAAGGTGGCCCACCCCCCTTACAAGAAAGGGAAAGGGATTTACAATAAACTATGCTGAGGGAGGGCTAACCATGAGCCCCAGGAAAAGGCAGCAGTAAAGCTGAACACCTGCAGACAGGTATGTAATCGAAAGAAATGCTGCACTGCTTTATGGCTAGGTTAGTAAAGTGGAGTAATAGACACAGGCCTTGGGATGTGCGGTAGCATAACATTCTTGGTCCACATTAGCAGAAAGGCCAGGGGGGAGGTGAATGGCAGTAGCCTCAGCTGGAGAATGCTTACACAGCATTAATGAGGAAATAAAGGCCTGGTGTGTGTTGTAAGTAAATACACACACAAGCCACCCAGCTGTCATGGATTTAGCCCCCAACAATTGAAGCCCCATGTGGAGTGCTACAAATTCAGGCTGTCACAGCACTTTTGCCATGGCAGAAAAAAGCCTCCAAAGTTTCCTGTAATTTCCCTAAATATTCTTGCTGACTGCAAGGGGTAAGCAAGTCAGGCCCATACCTCCAGCTAGCAGTACTGCCACCCCCCCAGCCATTATCTAGTGAGAGCTCTGGTAAAGCAGAGATGTAACTTCAGGCAGGGCAAAGCTAAGAGTTGAAAATGCCTCAGAAGTTGAGGTGGCCCAAGGCATTCGCCCTTACTGAATTAACTGATCTATGGAGCATGGGCTAGGAATTTTAGCTAAGGGGATAGAAATCTAGTCTCTAGATTCCAGAGAGCTTTGTTGTTGTACTGCTCCCATGGAGGCTGCCAGAAGCTCTAGTTCCATACTGGAAAGAAAAAGCAACAGCAGCAGCTGTGGACCATTAACCTGATTTTTAATACTTCATCCTGCCCCAAGAGGGCAAGTAATAATACCCAGGGCTGGGAAACAGAACAAAGGGGAGGAGTAACATAAACCCAGTCCCTACCAGCTGAGGGTGCTCTTATCTCCCCTGTCCAGCCCAGCTCAGATGCAATATAATCAGTCACAGTCCAGAAGCCACATAGGCAAGAATAGCTTTGGTCAATTTTCAACTGCAAAGTCTTGTGGGGAAAAACCTCCTGTTGCAGGAGGCTCCACTTTGAGCTGATACAGCCACTCAGCACACTGCTCTTCCATCTCCCTCAGGAAGCTTCTGACCCATAACATGACTTCTTCTCATGGTGAAACTAGGAAGAGAGGAGATCACATGGCATTGTTCATTCCTAGCCCCAGCACTCTAGTATCCAGAGGGGTCAGGCCTGTGAGCAGGGGGAAGAGGGCATGCAGGTCCATGGAGGTATTGCTGGGGGGCAGTTACAGGACATATACGGGGTGGAGATGATGGGTGCATAAGGGGAAGTAGGACATAGCTACTGGCAGGTGCATGAAATAATACTGACCTTCCTTAATGCTGCAAATGCTAGCCCAAAGGTAGGTTTGATCTCTGTTCTTTCCTTGATCCACTGGGGTAGTTTGTTGAAGACGGAGGGGCGTGCATACCTGTGATCTACAAGCAGGATGCTAGCAAAGTCCTTCTGATGGCGAATCGCTCGCCCTGCACAAATCACCATAAAGGGAAACCTCAGTTTTGTCACTTTGTATCCCCCTAGACCCTATTCTTACATGCACAAGATTATCAGCAGATCCACTCTAGATACAGGCCTCCACCAGGCTGCTAGCCAATAGCTTGAACACACAATCAGGTAACTGTTGGATCTCCTACCACCTGAGTTGCATGTGCCAAGACAATTCTTCCCAATACCTTGTCTCATAAAAGAATCCTCTCCTTATGCTGCTCCCCACCAATCCCACTCTGCCACAACTGCTTCTTTGCCTATTCCATGACCCTAGCTACCGTAAACTGCTCTCCATACTCCGCCCATCCAGCCCCATGAAAAATGAAGTCTTACCTATTGACTGGTTTACTGCTTTCATGCATAGATTTTCAATCAGCATTTTGCTAGGTGGCTGGCCCGCAGTTCTTGGCTAGAGGAGAGAAATAAGACTCAGGCTCTGTGTACACAAAGCAGTTTTTAGCGACAGGGCTGTGTTGCTACAGCCGTGTCACTAAAAAGTGAGCAGTGTAGCCGCTGTTTGTCGGCTCTCCTGCCAACAAAAAACGTCCACCCCCACGGAGTGGCATTAGCATTGTCGGCAGGAGAGCGCTCCTGCTAACAAAGACCTGTTCACACTGGCGCTTGTCGTCAGTAAAACTTTTGTCTCTCGGGAGGCGTGTGTGTTTTGTTTTTTAACACCTCTGAAAGACAAAAGTTTTGTTGTTCACTTGCCAGTGTAGACAAAGCCTGAGTAAAAGGCATATGCAGTTTAAAGTAGGAATTAAAGCTCTTCAGTGCAGAAACCAGGCCCTGGAGCGGTAGTGTATTCTTTACCCCTGCGGCTGCCTAGCTGGCCTAGGGAATGGTGCTGCCAGGCAGCCCCAGGTACTTGCAATAAAGAAGGGACCTCAAGGGCCACTACAAAGAGATGGGAGTTCAGTCACATACTAGAACCTGGGAAGTGCTATCAGGCTCCTCAGAGAGGACATTCAAACTAACCAGCTCCAGGGCACCTGAAGGAGGAAGGTAGTTTCAATGCCAACCCCCAGGGCTTCATGGAACAGGGGCTGTGGCAGGCAATGAGCAGGATTCACTGCGTTAGGAAGAGGCGCATGACCCTGCAATGTAGTTCTCTGTGCAGTATTGCTCTGGCAGCCTCTCTTGGGAACTCAGCTGGGTCATTCCTGCAGATCTCTGCCGGCTCTAGCCTTGTTGAGCCCATTTACTACCCCCAAAGCCACTCAAGCGCACAGTCAAGGAGATCTCTCTCTCCAGCATGACTGATCTAGACACAGCAAACACGGGCGGAGGCACAGGAAGAACCAGGGCTTTAGTTCGCAGAGGGAATTGGACCCTGAAAGGACAGTAAGTGAAGCAGCTGAAATAGGCGCTGGGGTGCTTACTCCTACCATTGTTTTGTCAAGATAGGCCATTTTCTCCTGGAGTTCTGGGGACTTGATGTTGGGGTAAGGCAGGCCCACCATGATGACACACCTGGAAATGGAAGGAGGGGAACACACAAGCATTGTTAGTGCCCTGTCATCCCAAACAAACTGATAGGGACACTATACTGCAGAGGGTTACCACTGGAACACAGTCAACTCTGGCGTGGAAGCAGCAACACTGCCCAGCCGTATGTGACAGGAATACTGAACTGAAAACTGCCAGGGGAATTCAGGGAGCCAGAGTGGGGATTTATCCCACCCAGCATTGTCCTGTGAAAAGCACTTCAGGCTATTTCATGACCACAGAGTGGTTGGGTGTCTGCTTCCTGACACCACGCCAGGCACACTGCTTTCAGCCCTGACTCAATCCACCACCCCCACTTCCTGCACCCCTGAGGTTTACTTGCAGGTTTACTCCCACCCAAGTCCTGACCAGACCTC